CAGGAATGTATCTCCGGCAGCTCCTCCATACAAGACATCTATACATGAACACCTTCAATAACTTAGGAAAATTTTCCTTTATACGTGAACTCCTTCCACAACTTAGGAAATTTCTTTTATACGTGAACTCCTTCCACAACTTAGTAAAATTTTCTTTTATAATGAATCCTCCCAAAACAATTTTTAACAAATTTTCTAATTATCTTATAAAAGTTATTTAACTTAATTTTATAATATTTTTTGACTTGTATTTCTATTATTTATCTTATTTTAAATATTTTTTCCAAGTTTTTTTTAAATAAATGTATTTATTACGAAAAACAATTATTTTGCCTTTAATTTACTATGTTATTGGGATAATGTCTGAAATATATTAACTTTATGTTTATTAATTTAACTTAATTGCTTAATATATATCTTTTAAGACTATTTTTGACGCCCCTTTATATTGAATTTAATTATTAATAATAATATTGGGCCGTCACAATATCAATGACATGTTGCAAACCGGTAGCATTCATTGCTATGCAGACGACAGCACTGGTGATACTTTATACACCGGCCGTGCCAATTTCTTTTTTTCGGAAAAACGTCGCTGAGTACCGGTACGAACTTGTGTCTGAAGTCGAAACTTTGTTGAAGTAAGTCTCGGCGAGGGGGCGACTAAATCTAGTCCAGTTTAATCTCCAGAAGACACAAGTTTGCGCATTTACCGCTAAAAAACCCCTTTCGTCGTATCTCCTCAGTTTCAAGGCACTCCCCTTGTTGCCACAGCCAGTATCGGAATCCTCGGCGTCGACATATCGAGTGACGTGCAGTTTCGTGGTTACTTGAAAGAAAAGACCAAATTGGCCTCTAAAAAACTTGGCGTGTTCAGCAGAGCGGGACAGTATTTCCTGCTGGCACACCGCCTGCAACTTTACAAGGCACAGGTTCGGCCGCACATGGAATGCTGTTCCCATCTCTGGGCTGGAGCTCCCCAGTACCAGCTCCTTCCTCTTGACCGCATCCAGCGCTAGAATCGTCGACGACCGAGTGCTTTCCGAAACGTCCCGATACCATCCACACCATCTGGATGCTTGGCGGTCCACAACTGTACGGTTCACAAGTTTTCTTCCGCGTATGACCTCTCTGTGGAATAGTTTACCACCGGCGATTTTTCCGGACCGATACGACCTGGGGACCTTCAAGAAAAGAGCTTACTCCTTTCTAAAGGACCGGCAACGCACCTGCAATTCCTCTGGTGTTGCGGTCGATCATGGGCGGCGGTAGTCACTTAACATCAGGTGAACCGCATGCTCGTTTGCCCCCTCTTCTATTAAAAAAAACTTACTGTATCCAGAGTGGTATATAAAGTAAGCAAGGAAATAGCTAAGTTGGCAAGGAGTTATATAATTATGCCAAATGTTGTAGACCTAAGAGAAGTAAAAGCACAATTTTTTGATGTCGCAGGATTTCCGAATGTAATTGGTCGTGTAGATGGATCACACATACCTATTCAATCTCCTGGAGGTGAGCAAGAAGAATTATTTAGAAATAGAAAAGTTTTTTTCTATTAATGTACAAGATGTGTGTGATGCAAAGTTGCAAATTCGTGACATAGATGCCCGCTGGCATGGATCAACACATGACAATACAGTTTTTAATAACTCATTCCTCCGAGCACGCCTGAATAACAATGAGATAGATGGTCACCTCCTTGGAGACAGTGCATATCTTTGTGGACGGTATATGATGACACCATTTTTAAAAGCTACAAATGCAGAAAAACTACAATGAAGAACAAATCAAGACCAGAAATACAGTTGAAAGGACATTTGGTGTGTGGAAAAGATTTCCATGCCTTTTTCAAAAATTAAGGCTAAAAATGGATTATATGTTAGCAGTGATTGTTGCAACAGCTGTGTTACACAATATAGCTCTACAACAAAATGATACTCTGGTGATTGCTTCTGCTTCGGAAGAAGATATCACAGAATCAATTGAAAAATCTCTTCCCTGTGAAGGAAACCATTTTCGTCGTTTATTGGAAGAACAATAGTTTAGGTTGGTAAAATTTTCTTTTGTTAATATCTCTAAAGCTCTATTTACACAATGTTGAATGTAATAAAGCAACAGAAAAAGCAAAGGAGCATATGGTCCACCTGATGGTAAGTGGATGCAGGGGCCCCTAGACATCTACATCTATCCTCTAATCACTTACTCCATCTTACTCCTCAACGGGGACAGTGCATCTGCACTGTCACCGTTGAGGAGTAAGATGGAATGCCTAAGGGGTCTCCGCTTGTATACACTCACCAAACGAAACAGCAGCATATTTAGCTGTTAATTCAAACTAGTCTTCGGTGAGGACATGATCTTTCCCCAGTTGAACTGATCTATTCATGCTACAATTATAATATATCTGCAGCATGGCTACCATGTATCAATAATGTATTATGTTAATAAAAACAAATTTATGTATGTGTATTTTATTTGTATTTCTAGTAAAAATATAGTAAATATAATATATAAACAAGAATTTTAATAAATAAAAACTATAACTAAATACTAATATAAAACTATATGAATTTATTATACTTTGGGCATGTAAAAATATAGAATTTATAAATAAGTTTTAATTAAAAAAAAACCAAAACATTACAAATATTGAAGATTATCAAATAACAAAGAAGGAAGAGGAAAGAGGTAGCGAGATTAGTGCAGGTGAAATAATGAAAGCAATGAAAAGCATGAAAGCAGGTAAGGCTGCCGGATATGATAGAGTTTCACTCGAAATGCTAAGGGCTGGAGAGGAAGTGGTGGCAGGCCTGCTGCACACCTTGTTTAATTTATGCTGGGAACTGAAGCGGGTACCGGTAGACTGGTGCAAAGCCGTGATAGTCCCAGTATATAAGGGAAAAGGGTCGCAGCAGGACTGTAAAAACTACCGTGGCATCAGCCTTCTTAGCATTGTGGGAAAACTGTATGCTAAGGTACTGATTGAAAGGGGCATGAAAGAAACTGATGGAAAAATTTGGGATGTGCAAGCGGGATTTAGAAAGGGAATGGGATGTACAGATCAAGTCTTTTCCATGCGCATGATCGCGGAGAAGTTTTTGGCCAAAAACCAAAAGGTTTTTTGTGCGTTCATGGACTTGGAAAAGGCCTATGACAGAGTGAATAGGGATGTGCTATGGCAAACACTGAACTCATTTGGGTTGAGCGCTGGCTTGATACGGGCATTGGAGTCCCTTTATAGGGACTCTAGTGCTTGTGTTAGGATCAACGGGGTCTACTCGGACTGGTTTGACATCCATAAAGGTGTCAGACAGGGCTGTGTAGCTTCCCCGTGGCTGTTCAACCTATTTATGGACAGTTGTTTGCAAAATTTGAAAGTTGAAGAATGCGGATTAAGAATGGGTGAGTTAACCGTCAAATGCCTTTTGTACGCCGATGATCAAGTTATACTTGCGTCGTCGGCGGCCGAGTTGCAAATGATGGTTACATTAATGAACAGATCATTAAAAGAAAGGGGTATGAAAGTGAACGCAAGTAAGACGAAGGTTATGGTTTTTGAAAGAGAAGAAAGTAAAACGATTTGTGAAATAAGAATAGAAGGGGAGTTGATCGAGCAAGTAGACGAGTTTGTATATTTGGGCTGCGTATTTAGCAGGGATGGGAGATATGATAAGGATATAGAACGACGAGTGAATGCGGGAAATAGAGTAAATGGGGCCCTGCACTCTATTGTGAAGAGTCAAAATGTGTCGAAAAAGGCACGTATGGCAATTCACAATGCTGTGTTGGTCCCTACTTTAACATATGGTAGTGAAAGTTGGGTGTGGCAGAAGAAGCACGAGAGTAGAATGAACGCAGTAGAAATGCGGTCGTTAAGGAGTATGTTAGGGCTGAATCTTAATGACAGGGTAAGAAATTGTGTAATAAGAGAAGAGTGTGGTTTGCAAGATGATGTTGTGACCAGGATTAAGAAAGGAATGCTTCGGTGGTTTGGTCATGTGGAAAGAATGAATGAGGAAAGAGTGACAAAGAAAATTTATGTTGCAGAAGTGAATGGCAGAGTCGGAAAGGGACGTCCTAGGCGAAAATTTATCGACCAAATTGGCGATTTATTGAAAACGGGCCAAATTAGGAGTACCCTTAACCGACGAGCATGTATGCGGAGGTGTATGGATGTGAAGGAGGCGAGAGAGGTGTGTCAGGATCGTGCCAAATGGAAGTCTGTAGTCTCTGCCTACCCCTCTGGGTGACAGGCGTGAGTGTTTATGTTTATGTTTATGTTTATGTTTATCAAATAACAAAAACAAAAAATCTACTGTATTTTGATATAGAGTTAAATAAAATCTTTTACAAAATGCAAAAATGGACTTAATAAGAATTTTAATTAATTATACTTTGGCCATGTAAAAATAATTTATAAAGCAGAGCTTTAATTAATAAAAACCAAAACATTACAAATATTGAAGTATCAACATCAATATGAAATCATCAAATAACAAAAATATAAAAATTTTACTGGATTTTGATATAGAGCTAAAGAAAATCTTTTACAAAATGCAAAAATGGACTTAGGATTTAAAATAAGAATTTTAATTTATTATATGTTGGCCATTATAAATCAAAATTCTTCTTTTTTAATTCAAAGTCCGTTTTTAAATTTTCTAAAAGATTGCGCTTTAACTCAATATCAAGATCCAGTAAAATTTTGTTTTTATTTTAATTTCATATGTTCATTTTGAAGTTGAATCTCCAATATTTCTAATTTTTTTCATTGTTATAGTATCTTCATTCATTTGCTTCTGGTTTTTTCTTTTTATTATTGAAGCACTGATGCTATTTATATTTTTCTTTTTGTTTCAGTTAAACAAATCTTTTTTTTGGTGTGATGTCACATTCCAGAAGAGGTGAAATCCTTCTTCTGGAACCTTCAACTCGTTAAAATTGATGTACCGAATCTTCTTTTGCACCCAATACTTCTTGAGAAGAATCTTGCGTATCGTTTAACTGTTGTGTTTCAACATATCTGCAATGAATAAATTGCAAAAATCAGTCACTATTGTGTTATGTGTAATTTTATTATTTAAAAAAAATAGTCCCACTGGGTTTCTGGCCGCTTCTTCCCAGGACAGAGGTTTTTTTTTGTGAACCAGTGGTAAATGAAAAAAGTGACTTTCAATAAGTATTATAGTTAATCTATATTGAATAAAAAAGTTTCTGTTCCTGTTTCTATAGCTGATGATTGTACAGACAAATCTATATTCAGAAATTTGTGCATGGGTACTTAAACCACATTAAATAAATGATTATTTAATTATATTTTGTTTCATTATCTTTATTCTATTTCACATGAAATTATTCATAAGTTTGATTAGATTTTAACTAATTTTTCCCTGTAAATTTACATTGATACTTTTAATTGCTCAGGTTATGTATAGCCCTATGCCGAAATAGTTGATATAAGAAGAATTTAACCAAGTATTAATTAATAAAAACCGTATTATTTTATTCTATTTCACATGAAATTATTCGTAAGTTTGATTAGATTTTAAATAATTTTTTCCCTGTAAATTTACATTGATACTTTTAATTGCTCAGGTTATGTATAGCCCTATGCTGAAATAGTGGATATAAGAAGAATTTAACCAAAACATCAGTTAAAAGCATGCTCAAAAAATGCTAAATTCTGATGTAATATGATGTTAGAAAAACAACAACTACTTACATACCTATGGTGTAATATGGTGCTGATGAGTCAAAATCATTAAATAATGGTTTAAATTGTGGAGGTAACAAGGTCACAACTTTTTCATCAACTGCAGTTGTCTTAAGGCAAAATGTTCCACCTCCTGTCTTGTACAGCTCGGACTGAAATTAAAATTTTACGTTCTACATTACATACTTGTTGGATACCATTGCATAACTTTATACAAGAATAAATTATTATTGTAAATACTCCAAGGCAATAACTGTGCCTATGGAGTAGGTTGTAGAATATAATGATGATTAAAAAAGTTTATTAGTTCAAACAAAAATAAGCAGGATATGACCTACCTTATCATCGCTTACATTTTTTCTAGCTTTTTTTAAATTGTCATATAACGCATGCAATTGTTTTTCAGTTCGATTCCCGTTTCAGAAAGAGCATTATATTTATTGGTCAACGTTTGCTCCGTGGTCACTGGTCAACGCCATCCAAGCTTGCATAATGCTTATGCTTCTTGGCCTCTACAGTTGTCCCGTCCGTCTTTTTGTTATCAATTGTAGCCACAAAGTCTTTGGCTACTTCAATTAGAAGCATCTTTTCTCTTTCCGTAAAATTTCTACTACGTTTGCTAGACTCCATAATATTTATTTCAAAAAGATAAAACCACTATATAAACTTAAAATCGGAAAGAGAAAAAACAAACCACACAAAAAATATAAAAGCAAAGCACAGATAAATAAATATGTAGCAAGCTAGCAAAGTGAGTATGATGTTTTCTAGGCATGTCGATTTTAAATCGATTAATCGAAAAATCGATTCTTTGGCGTAAAATAATCGATCCTTTAGATCGATTCCGAGCACCGCATCGATTCACTGAATCGATCCAAAAACCTCTCAAATCGGATTGATTCATCTGATTCAAGAACTAGCGATAAAATTCCAAAACTGGCTGGGGTCAGATACCGCAGTTTTTTAATTTTTTGCTGTTGGGGGACGCAAAAACAACCGGTCGTACTTGATTGATAATTTAAATAAAATAAATATTTATGAACGCATTCAACAATATCGAAAAGTTGTCATTTCATTTCTAAAATTCTATTTTTAATCTTACCTGTGGAATGTTGGTCTAACTTAATCTGTGCTGTGAACAAAGACTACATATACATACTACAATATAATATTATAGCTGTGAACCCGTTTGAACTGTGAACTTGTGAATTTACTTTATTTATTATCAAAAACATAAATACTGTGAGCTGTAAGTACAGACAGAGTACTTTTTAAATACCTAGATACTGTAAATAAATATTATACGTTGAAGTTTATAGAGGTTTATAGTAAGGAAATAACCAGTATTGTGTTCGTGTAGCATTCACTTCAATTTGATAAATAGTGAGTTATTAGATTGAAACAGATTTATCGAGAAATGTACGTTGCAGTTTGAACTTTTGTTAAAGTATTGTTGTTGTTTCTAGCCTAAAATGTCAAATAAAAGTGATACATGGAATCACGTGCGAACCACTACTAACACAATCGTTTCAAGCTTACCAGGAGTGGTTAAAAGGAATATTAATAATGTTAATTAATAAGATAACTAATATTTTATTTTAAAAAATATTAAAGTTCAATTAAAGAAAAAAAATCGCAAATTCTTGAAATTTCATGTTTGAAAATGTTGCGATTAATCGAAAATCGATCTTTTAATCCTTGATTTAATCGATAATCGATTCTAGTGTTTTCGATTCAAATCGATTCAGAGATCGATTTTTTTAAGAGTGAAGCGACATGCCTAATGTTTTCTTTTTAAACAATTTGACAGTACAATGATGTCGTCCATACAGTCTCTGATAAATATTGAATTATGTTAATCTATTGCTAACACAGCGCATATTCACTAATTTAGCCTCAAAAAAGAATATTTTATGAATAATACTAATATAAATAAAGAATTGAAATAAAAAAAAAAAACAATTTTAGACTCGATGTCTTCGATGGGTTGAAACAGACCCATCTAGTGGCAATTTATGGAACTTGTTATTGGTTTCATAGTTGTTGTACGGTTGGTTTGGTATTCAGACACGCAGTGACAAATATCTCTATATCTTATAGATAACTTTATTAACTCAACAGCTAATGGGAATATAACTGGGAGCTTCAGAAACCGGGCATTAGAGTTTTAAAGTTAAGTTATTAAAGTAAATACTTGTTGAGAGTAGGGCCATCTAATGAGCAATTGACGTACAAATGACTTGTATGTAATTCAACAGTGGACTCGACCTCATATACACCACAAGATGGCACCAGTAACATTAATGTGTGTGGCTGTTTCCAAATTATACCAAACAGTCAATATTTGAAATGTTCTAAATGCAATGAAAGTTATGATCTAGATTGCGCAAACGCAAACGCAAACCGTAGTAGTAGTAGTAGTAGTAACGTGCCTAAAACTATAAACACAACCCCCACCCCCCTCCATACGCGACCTGAAATTAAACGCATGTACAGGTTTGTCTGAAGAACAACAATCTCCCAGCCTAAGCAACATTACCCTGAGAACAAAACGTACCTTCAATGCAAATGATAGCATTTTCAGAGATGACTGATTCGAGCGTCTTAGGAGATACTCTACAGGAAAGCTCGCTATTCAGCAGTAGACTAGTACGGGAACTGATATAACGGCAGAAAAGTTATTCGTTTTACATTTACTTTGGGAGGAAATACTGGATAAAAAACTAAACATACTAAAGGTACAATTATTAGTCACTGAGCTAAAATAATCAATTATAACTGAAATAAAAATAAAAATATGATAATGATAAAAAATTGTCGTTAAAAATAAGTGAAAATATTGAAAGCCTTGAGAAAATAAGTAAGAAACTAGAAATAGAATTAAAGGAAATACAAGAGATTGTTATGAATAAAAAGTTCGACAAAAATTATGAGGATACTGAGAATAAAATAAATACTCATAAAAAATAGTATTATACAGTTTAGATGAGCAACCTTGGTAAGACGAACATGAATTACATGATAGAATAGTGTACGCTTTCCAAGAGATTATGAACATTAACCCCTCGGGCTATATAGAAGAAGTACAAAGAAGAGGTAAAATACGAAAGTGAAGACCGATAATTATCGAACTATTAAGCAAAAATATAACTCATTACATCCACAGCACCGACATTATTTCAGGGGTACAGGATTAGCCATATCAGATACCTAAATGAGAATTCACTAAAAAAAAAAGAAAAGAAATGATCGCTATTTTAATTAAAGCACGTCGGCGTGGACAAAAGGCAAACATTATCAATAACAAACTTTTCGTCAACGGAAGAGAATATAAGACAGATAACACATCAAACACAAATCCCCAAACAGCCCAAAAGCACGGCCTGAGTTTCGACAAAAACAAACACGAAAATAAAATAAATAAACATGACCCTAAACCATCAACAAGTACATACGGCGAATTACCAAACATAAATAATATGAATTTTCGTAAATAATTTTGTAGTGTTATACCATAACATATTTACTACTTATTTAAAAAAAATTAAATATAAAAAATAAACGACACTTATTACAAGCTGCAACAGAAGAAGAAAGAAACATACAAGCAATTTGCATATCAGAAACATGGATCACAACATCAAAAATTGATCTTCTTCGTATAGATTCGTTATAAGCTCGCATCATGCTTTTGTGCATCTAGTCGTGAAGTGGGGAGTATGTATACTTTTAAAAGATGATATTATTTTTAAAGAAAGGAAAGATATAACTAGTATTTCATTAGAACATGTATTGGAAACTTGTGCAATAGAAATACCTAAGCTTAAACTACTTCTAATAGTCTTGTATTGGCCTAATAAAAATAGAGTGACTGAAATGTTTTGTAAAACACTAACAAAGTTTCTGCAACACGATATTAAAAAAGACAAATGTAAAAATATTATTATGGAGCTGATTTTAATGTCAATATTTTAGAATCAAACAACTTAAGTTCTAATGTTTTAACCCTCATGAAAGGTTTTAATTTCACTCAGTGTGTTAAAGAACCAACCAGAGTAACCGAAACCTCTACCACATGCATAGGCTTAATATTTAATAATATGCTAAATATTAACAATACTTTGAAAATTAAAATAAAAGATTACGGGTTTTCAGATCATAAGGGAGTTATTGTCAGTATCGATAGTATACAAACTAACAATACAAAAAATTGGTAGATGCAAAAGAGGATTTTTAATTTAAAAATATTGAAAAATTTAAAACTGACCTTATGAAAACTGATTGGAAAGATGTAATTTCAGAGAATAAAAACATAAACACAAACTTTAATTCATTTAATGATAAAATTCAATCTATTCTCGATAACAATAACTATACCGAAAAAACGAATAATATTGAAAAATAAAAATAAAATTTGGCTTACCAGCTTAAAATAGAGTAAAAAATTCAGATAACGTAATCGTCACAATGTCGCAAATAGTAAGGAAGCGTACAAATAAAACAAAAAAGAAACTTAAAAGTAATTTAAAATTTAAAATAAATAATGTACTTACTGAAGATCCCATAACAATTTCAAACCATTTGAACAATTTTTACCTCGGTGGGGGCGCACACGAACAACTCTCGCTCACAAGCTTAGTCTTCCGCCAATACTATTAATAACTCTATATTTATCAGCCCAACTAACCCAATAGAAGTCCTTAACGTCATAAAAAGACTAAAAAATAAAAGAAGTCATGGATTTGATGAAATACCACCAACTCTAGTAAAGACATGTGCCGATGAACTTGCCACACCACTCACACTTCTTATTAACCAATCTCTCTCTCGCAAGGAATTGTCCCAGACTTAACAAAAATAGCAAAAGTCAAACCGCTACACAAAAAAGATGACCCGGAAAATTACAGTAACTATCGTCCAATAGCACTTTTATCAACATTTTCCAAAATCTTAGAAACAGTCATGTATAACAGACTCTATACCTTCTGTGAAAAATATAATATACTAAATGACGGACAGTATGGCTTTCGTAAGGGTCGCTTTATAAGACTCGCGGTATAGTATTGAAGGTAATTGACTAGAAGCAACATGCTATTGGTATATTTTTAGATATGAGCAAGGCCTACGATAGGGTTTCTCACTCGATCTACTCTACTCTACTAAATAACTACTCGACTAAATAAACTATATAATATAGGTGTGAAAGGTATGGCCGACAAATGGTTCGTATCTTATCTTAATCAACGCGTCCAATATGTAGATATAGACTACAATGACCCAAAAACCAGAATTGTTGAGACTGTAAAAGGTCTGAAAAAATAATCTTGAATCACTCAATACCCCAGGGTAGCGTCCTCCCCCCCGAACGGGTTCCCGCCTTGTCGTGGCGGGGGGGCTTAGTAGCCGTGGCTTGGTCTCCCACGGTGAACAAAGAGGAACCCACGTGGCTGGCCCGAGGTGAAGGGCCGGCCTGAGGTGGCCGCTCCGAGTGGGCTTGGGGAGCCTACTTTGGATGTGTGCTGGTGGACTGCAGCGAGTGGGGACTCGCGCAACCCCTACCGCTGCAGCCGAGGTGGAGTCGCGGA